CACGTACACACGCACACATGCACACACGTACACACGCACACATGAACACATGTACACACGTACACATGCACACACGCACACATGCACACACGCACATGTACTATGACAGAGAGGAACAGATGTTGATTAATTCTGTACGCAAACACAACACAACACACACACACACACACACAAACACTGACTGAAGCCGACAGAGATTGATGGATAGATGTGATTGATAAATTTGGTCGTTAGGTTGACAGATATAGATACGTAATTATGAAAGGGAAAATGACCTCAAATGGGTTTCCTCTTGGAAAGGGTCAGGATGTGGTTTCCACCCTTTGGACAGGACTAGGATGATTGGGTCATCGTCGAAAGGAATCAAAGTCAGCAGCAGGCTACTAGTAGTCGGCGACTGGTCTAGGTTGTCTTCTCTTTCTTTTTTCTTTTTTTTTTTTTGTCATTAGCAAAATCACCAAAGAAAAGAACAGGACTTCACAGATGCATGAATTTGGTACTACTCGGTCCTATTCGGAAACCAGTTAGCAAACCACATTTCTTCTAAGTAGTCGCTTACTGAAAAATAACAATTTAAAACTTTCCTTTTATTTCCCTTTCACACTCGCAACACTTGTCTCTGGCGTAGTAGCAGCAGCAGATTAAAAAACTAAATTGGATTAATCTAACTATTGAAAAACTAAATTGGATTAATCTAACTATTGAAAAACTAAATTGGATTAATCTAACTATTGAAAAACTAAATTGGATTAATCTTACTATTTAAGAACTAAATTGGATTAATCTAACTATTAAAAAACTAAATTGGATTAAACTAACTAAGTGAAGATAATCATAGATTGTCAACTTGTCATTATCATGTATCTCACACTCTGAGCGTCGACGTGTGAAATACATAAAAAAAAACAAAAACAAAAACAAAAAAAAACTACATTTATATAAGAACTAGTTCTAGTACGGTAGTACGGTAACCGAGTAACCAACTGTCCTGGCTCAGTTGGTTCACTGCTGAACTGAATTGTTGAAATACAGACCTGAGTTCGAACTCCTGAACTGTAGAACTCCGGTGGAAGCAGATGAGTGGAAACAAAAAGAGTGGAAACAAAAGAGTAAAAGACTACAATTCTGAAAACTTAGGGCTGGTCAGTAACATGATGATATCTCAGGGCCGTAGGCTTTTGTAAAAGCGGGAAAAAGGGAGAATTAGTGCAGGATTAAATTAAATAAGCTACTCGGGAAAAAGGGCTCACCTTTGCGCATGTATTGACAATTGACAGCATGTTTTTTTTTTTTTCCCCCCCTAGGGCACAATCACACACTCGTAGTGTCCTCAATTTAATCTTTATGCCAATCGTGGCCCAATTCAGTTTGCAAAGTTAGTAGTAGTAGTGTCACAGTGGCACTTAGTATTGTCTTTTTTTTTTTTTTTTTTTTTTTTTTTTTTTTTTTTAGCCTGTCTCCTCTCTGCAGATGATGGCCATGTATCCATGGCAGTCATCAAATCGGTCAGACGTCGACATTTATTTCATCAAATAATTCAAATCGGTCAGACGTCTGCAGAATGTGTCCTCTCTTACTCTTATATGTTAATCGCCTTTTTTTCTACACCCGTACCTGGATCATGATAGCTTTCGTTGCCGACGTGGCAACGGTCGTTTTTCCAACTTAGCACATCATTAATGAATCGTTTTTTTTTTTTTGTCACATGTCCGCGGCCGCGACCAGAGGTTATAGCATTGATGACCGGTTTAAAAACTTAAAAAACCGAAATATTGTTTTTAAACATTTAATAACTGCTTTTCTGACGAGTCGTTCTCGACTTGCGGCAGGTAAGGGCCCTCGCATTTCCACAGGGAAGGCAATGAACTGAAAAAGAGAGAGAAGAGAGTTTTTTTTTTTTATAACACAGCAGAGTACCAGAAGTCGTTTTTCCCCCCACTATTTCTATTACTCAATTTTCATTTTTTATTTTCTTTAATAATAAATAATGCTCCCTCATATTGGTGGTAGCAAAACTTGTGCTTGTTCTCCTTCCTTCTGTTCTCCGCGTGCATAGTACTTGCTCCTTTTTTGAAAATCTTTCCCAAAGTTCAAAATAAATAAATAAATAAATAAAATTATCTACGATCGTATTTGACTGTTGCCACCCTCTCGTGGGATAAATCATTGGGACCACTGGAAAGGTGAAAAAAGTTTTTATCCATTCTTCTTACTTATACTATCTAAGTTCTTGTTTTGTTTCTCTACCCCCTCCCCTCTTCGGTGGTAAACCGCTTTTTTCTCTTTTTACTTGTTTTTAGTTAATTGATCAGTCGCTGTTCTCACCGTAAATTTGGGTCACTACCCTTCGTTCTCTAACGAGGGTTAACGGTCCCTTAGGAGAGAGTTAACGGTCCCTTAGGAGAGAGTTAACGGTCCCTTAGGAGAGAGTGGATCGAACGGTGACGGACTGTCCTTTAACATTTGGGGATATATAAGCGTATATGCACGTGACCTATCGCTAACCGCTTGGAGGACAGAAAAACTCATCATCGTTCACTCTCATTATGGACAAGTCAGCGCGCGGTTCTTTGTGATGTTATACGTAGAAATTCCTACATATAATTATATACAAACATATTAATATATTTTATAATATTATTTAGTCATATTAATAATCCATATATATTTATATTGTTCCACTTGATAGTAGCTTTCTGGAAAGTCAAGGATAGTGACTTTCTGAAGGCTATAGCCTGTAAGCTAAGCTGGCTGATGCTGTCAGCATCCCGGCTAGAATTGTGAGGTCCCCGGCCTCGTTTGGATATTGAAATGAATTGAGACTGGGTGGGGGGTGGGTGGGGGGGAGGGGAATTAAAAAAAAAAAAATCAGCCTCCTGATGAGTCGGTGAAACTCTGACGAAACACTTTGTCACAGCCCCTCGTTTGTTGTCCTCTTCTCCCTCCCTCTCTGCCTACGGTTTACCGTGCAGCTCTGTTTGACGATATATAGTATAACAGAGAGCATCTTTTGTGACAGAGTTACCATGTTGACTGCATATTTATATTTCTATACTGTCATTTAGAAAAGAGAAGTTGTTGGGGGAGGGGGG